AACTATATATATACAAACATACACACACACACATATATGCATATACGCACACACGCACACCCACACATACCCATACACACACATATACATACACACACAGGCACATATACACATATACACATGCATACACACATACACACACATGCATACACATACACACACATATATACACATAAACCATACGCACATGCATACATACACATACGCGCACATGCACATATATACATACACACATACACGCACCTACATACACGCATACACACACTTACATATAATTCATACACACATACACACACATACATACAGATGTACGTGCATACACATGCACACATATGCGCAGACACACCATATACACACCTACACAAACATACATATGCACATACACACATACACTTATACACACATATACATATACACACACACATACACTTACATATTAAGCAATATTTATCTATCCATCGATTATTGATTGATTGATTTGCAATCATTTAATTTTAACTATTTATTCTAATTTCATTAGCTACATATCAATTTGCCATATCAATCAGTAAGAATCTAATTTAGGTTTTTTTTCCTCCCTCCCTCTCTCTTTCTCTCTCTCCCTCTCTCTTATTGCCTTTTAATTGTTTGTTCATCATGTTTTGTAATACATTTATATCATATAATCACTGGAATGATTGATATCGAAATTTGATGATTGCTGAAGAAATTGAAATCAAATTAAAAATGAAAAGTAGAATAGGAAAACGAAGTGGGTAGAAATTTAAAAAATTTAATTATTGGCTCATTTTTTCACCCCATCCGTCCCAACCACTACCACCATCATCCCCGATCATCAACACCATCATCCTCGATCATCATCAGCATCATCATCCTCGATCATCATCATCATCATCATCCTCGATCGTCATCATCACCCTCGATTATCATCATCATCATCATCCTCGATCATCATCAGCATCATCATCCTCGATCATCATTATCGTCATCATCCTGTATCCTTAATAATCTTTCATTTTTAAATTAAAAATTTTCAGGTGTAAAATTTTTAATCTTAAATTTATTTATTTTCAAAAAAAAAACAACGAAAAAAAGTGTGAAAAAATCTGATGAAAATAATATTTCTAATTTACATAAATTTTTCCCATTTTTTTTTTCGAAAATTAAATCATTTCATGAAATTTTTT